GGTCCCACAGAACAGTCCAAACCCTTACTCTTTGAATGTGTTAATCGACTCTTTGAAAAAGGATATGAAAAGTGAGCAAAAGTTGAGAACAACTGTATGTGATGTGAAGATAGAGAGGCCCAAAGTGGAGGTCATCGCAAGTGATGGCAAATGTGATAACGTGTTGAGCGGTTCCGATAAGGTTTGTATGAATGACACGACAACTGAATTACAGTCCACTAATGATCTAATGGTCGTTTGGTTACAGAAATATGAGTGCATTCTGTGTCCACACGTGAGTCCCACAGCAGATGCGGCCAAAGATCACTATTTGGTTCACTTAGAGGTGTACATCGAGTGCGGCGAATGTCACGAGAAGTTCACAAACCTTCAGACGTATCGCAAACACAATCCCAAACATTTGGATCGAAACAAAATGTTGTATTTGAATGAGTTTATGGCCGCCAAGAAGTGGTGCGACAATTATGTCGATTACATCGAAAGGCATCACCAATTGGTGGATGATTTGGTGGACTCTCACACCATGTTTTGTCCCATTTGTCGGACTATCAAACGCTGTTACCCTAAGAGCGTCACCACTAGTGATAAGAGTAATAGAAATCAAAATTATAAGCCATTCAGTGAGGAATTCATTCGCAACCATTTGCACCAACACTTCCAATACTTGCCGTATGTGTGTATCGACTGTGATATGGAGGACAAGAAGACAGAGTTCTATCTGAACGCCACTGCGAGACAACATCTAAACAAATGTCATGACATCGAAAAGGCTGACCACTTGTCGCCCAATGAACTCATGACTTATTTCGATCGCAAGAAGTGCATCAAAAAATTAGACCATTTTATAGATAATTGTGTGGAAATGTCTTTACAAATGAACGCATGTCTTGAGCAGAGGAGGTATAAGTGTCACAAGAGTTCTATATTTAATGGATCCAAACATATAGCATAAAGTGATTTGTTAGGATCTGTTTAGTTGTTGCAATAATAGAAACAAATTTTTAATCACTTTTTAATTTATTGATTTATATATTATATCTTATATGAAGTCTTAATAACCAATTTTGGGTATAAGTTTATTTGAATCATTAAATTAATGATTTACTGTAAATTATAGCAAGGTATTGAAGTTGTAATCACTTCGCACTGAATCCTACAGAATATTATTTACATATAAATGTAACGTTATTTTTGTATACCATGTATTGTAATGACACCAAAACATACACTCAAAACGAGTGTTAATTTTAAACAAGATTCAAATAACTGTGATTATAATTAATATAATGCTTGTATTTCATTCATTTTGTCAATTATTAAACTATTTATAAATTGATTTTAAACTCTTTTATCGTATATTTGTATGAATTGTTGTATTTGTATGATAGCAACAAAATGCCAAACTATTTGAATGACAACTATTTCGGTGATAATTACCATAATTTCGATAACTATACGAACCACTCGTATATGAATCCCAATCTAAATGGGAGTCCAATGCGACCACAAATGCCACCCAAAGAGGTGCACAACTATGGCAACAGAAACCCCGTTAACGCCAGCCGTCGACCAAACAATGGTCACAACGTTAGACACAATTACTATCGACGGACTCAACCATATTATGGACCAAATGGCGGCCCAATAGCCAACCAATACAGGGCTCAAGTGATCGACTACTCCAATGGCACTCAACCGCAACCAAACAGGTATTGCATCGAGTCTTCATTGGATTCACTTCTTCAGTTGTGTTCATCTGTTTTCAGACCTTATAATCGAAATGCGGTCACAAATAACTCATCGCAACCGTTGATGACAGGCCCGCCATCGGGTCTTTTGCCACTTCCCACAGCCTATCCTAATGTACGGCCCTATGGACAGACATCACAGCCTTATATGCCGAACGCCAATGTGGTTCAGATGCCAACCCATAGCCAACCATTTAACTCATCCTATGGATCACAACCACCACCACAACAACAAATGAATTCTTATGCATCCAGTAATCAATCGGTTCCACAATATGGGGCGTCGATGCCATACTCGCACACAATACCTCAACCCGTACCACAACCGGTGCCACCACCTCCTCCAATGGTAGCCCCACAGCCAGTGCCGCCGCCATCGCGAACACCTTTATTCCCAATCCAAGCGCCCACTCCAGTGGGTCCTCCAAACCGAACGCAACCTAATGTACCGAAAGTTAAGGTCGAAATAGACGTCGAATCCCAGAGATTATCAGATGAGACGAGAGCTCAGAAGATAATTGCTGAGGGAATGCAACACAGGTTTCAAAATGATTTGAATGGATATTATTGTTTGTTTTGCGATGTCTTCTGCAATAACTTAAGTGCCGGCGAAAGACACGTCGAGACACCCAAACACCACAGAGTTTGTTACCAATCAATTGGTTTTTATTTCTATTTATCTCTAATATCTGTTTTAATATTATTTAGACTAAAATTGGAGATAATCTTAAAGGAATTGACGCCAAATATACGATAAAATCTGAGAGAATAAGTAATGGATTTATGAAAATCTTTTAAGAACCGAGTGATTGATTTGAATACTGAATGTTTAGACGAAACGGCGGTCGCATTGGCCCGAAAGGAGGAGTTGTCTAAAATAAGTAATGTTATTAAGAATGAGTACTTCAATGAAGGCATTCGACTCAAGGATGGCATTGGATCTGATGCTTACGTCTGCGAAGTAATTGCAAAATACAAGCATTTCTTATAATTCAAACCAATTGATTATCGTCTCATTTGTGACAGAGTTGTGGAATTGCTATGGCATCACTAGTTTTGGTGAAAAAGCATTTAGAACTTCACAAACAATTATCAGAACAGTTGGGAATCTGTACGAAACCAGTCATTGGACTCGACTTTATTTGTGAATACATAGATCCCGATCCGGACACACCTCGAGTGTATGAGTGCGCGCTTTGCAATACAACCAACACATCCAAAGAGATCATTAATCACATCTGCGGTTTCACTCATATCACTAATTTCATTGTCTGTTCAAACTATTTAAGTTATATTTGTTTTACATTTGGATTCAATGTTTGTGTTTTTGTTGAACAGAAAAGGATTCATCCGAAGGAAGGAATTAAATTCACGTCAGAAACGCCTGAATTAGTGTTAGAAGCGGCCAAACAGGCCATCGAACTGGAAATGGTGGTCGGGAGGGGACACTTCAAAGTCAAACACCAGTCCGCGCCTCGAAATTACAACAATAGGAACTCCTCTTTAGATCAAATCAAAAGTAATTACAATTCTCTGGCTCCCAGCCCATCGCCGGTCCCACAGAAAGCCGTCTTTCAAATAGAATTACCGAAAGTCAAGTCCGAAGAGGAGAAGAGTTCTCTCGAGAAACTGTTTTGCGTTCGACTCGAGAGTGAGTCCGACGCCAACGAAGTGACAAAACTGATCGAAACGATCACTAATTGTGTTCTCGATTACCTCACCAAAGATATGGTGCCTCAACAGAGGGATCAGTTTAGACGACAACTCAATAGTGACAATGCGTTGAATACTTCCACTCAAACCCAATGATAATAAAGTGAATTAGACTTTAATCGTGTGCTCGGCTATTGTGTACAAGAATTACACATTTCTCTCAAATTATGAATTAATTTTTAAATTAAAAACTTGAGCTTGCTCACTAAATTGGTTAATTCATCGATTGTGCTATGTGTACTCTATTTTATATGAATTTATAATTAGTGCTAAACTTCTAATTTATTTCTCATTTAACAGAATATGTAAAATATAAAATTCTTAACAAATTTTTATTTATTGTATTTAGTAACGAATTTATTAAAAACTTTATTTTACCGGTACAATTAATTTATTAAAAAACCCCTGTATTTGTCATGAAATGTCGCAAAGTCTAAGAAATACAAATTGTGGTCAAAAATTGATCTCAAACTGAGAATAATAGCGCAAATGAAGGCCATTCACAAGCGTTTCACACATCTCTCAATCCTTTCAATCAAAGCTTTTGTCAAACATTTCAACATTCAGTCAAATAATAAAAACAAATGTTTTAAACAAACTATTGATAACCATTCATAAAGTCACATAAATACCTGCCATAAAGGGCTGCATTCACTACAATATGGAGACGTTTTGACATAAAGAAGTTGTACTCAAATATACGGTCAAAAAGTGCTTGAATTGAGTGAATGATGCCATATGTGGGCCATATGTGGACCATTGGTGTGGTCTCTATAATGGCTGTCAAATGTGTGGTTCAATAGGTTTTTGACATTTAATTCAAACTAAAGTTTTGGATGCAAAATGAACCATGTTCACTTTTAACTTATTTATATTCATTTATTTATTAAACATTTACTTCATTTCCATCTATTGTCTCGTAATACCATCACTACCTTTGGATCACTTGAAGTATTGGTTGAGAAATAACAGAAATGAATACCAAATACTCGTTCGGTTGTGTCGACTCCAAGACCTGAACGCCTTTTCCATTGAAAGTATGTTTTCATTCAATGATTGGTCTCTTTGGTTCATATTGTCTTAAAATTTCTTTCATTTTGACACCAGATTTCAATCCAAACAAAACACATATCAATGACAATGACATTCACCTCAAGAGAGAGATCTGTGCGAAAGTGAGCGCCGGTTTGGGAACCGATTGTTGGGGTTATGAAAGCGATTGCAATGGAAGTGATATCTACTTAACTCCTGAGTGTCCCGAAGACACCAATGGTTGGGCCCGTAACGAAGTGGAGGCCATAAAAGTGTTCTTCGATTCTGCGGACTTCGGTTATGTCCGCCAAAGAAGCCATGAATTGAGATATTATTGTCGACCAAAAGTAGCCACAAATGACAGACAATTGATCTCATCGTTGAAATGCAGTCAATATATGAGGTATTGTTCGGCGAAAAACATTTGGATTGACTTCGAGTTGTTGTCCAAAATGGATGAACCCGTCAGATATCGGGAGGACGTGATCGGCAGCCAACACATCGGCGGCTGGAATTGCGATCTTCACGACAAGGATCTCAAGAGTGAGGGACAGCACAAGAGTCCACTGCAGTCGTGGTTCACAGAGATCGAGAACCTGCGAGTGCTGTCCGACGACCAGAAGTGCGACCTTTGGATTGAAAGACCGACTTATGTGATGAAATTGGACGCAACGGTCAATATGTACCACCATTTCTGCGATTTCATCAATTTGTACGCAAGTCTTCATTTGAATAATTCGTTTTCTGTGGACAATAATATAGTCATTTGGGATTCATATCCGTATCGTTCAAACTTCGGACTCGTGTGGAAGGCCTTCACATCCAATCCCGTCCTAAACATCGGACAATTCAAAGGCAAAAAGGTCTGCTTTCGAGACTTAATACTGCCATTACTTCCGCGAATGATTTTCGGCATCTATTATAATATGCCTCTCATTCCCGGCTGCCGTCAGAGCGGACTCTTTCGCGCATTCAATAGACATCTCATCCATAGGCTGGACATCGAAGCAATTGTTCCGCAAAACGAGAATTTAGTCAGAATTACGCTAATCTCGAGGAAAACCAAATACAGACAAATAGTGAATGAATTGGAATTATTAGACGCTTTGAAAGACTTAAAGGACATCTCCGTAGAGATCCATGACTTCAACCATTGGATGCCATTTGAGAGACAAATAAAGATGAGTGCAAACAGTGATGTATTGATAGGAATACACGGCGCGGGTCTGACACATGTGCTCTTCCAACCCGATTGGGGGGTACTCTTCGAGCTCTACAACTGTGATGACGAGCACTGCTATAAAGACTTGTCGAGACTCAGAGGCGTCCACTACATGACATGGACTGACCGGTCAAAGGTTTACCCACAAGAAAGTGATTACAAGTCAGAAAACCCTCAGTTCTCAGCCGACGCTAAGTTTACTAATTATCGCTTCGATGCCAAAGAGTTCAGGCGTTTGGTTAACATTGCTGTCGATTATGTCAGAAAAACCAGACATTCCTCAGCGATAGACAAGACTTTTGAGAGTAAAGTCATCACAAAACCTAAAACTGAATTATGAATTACAAAAAGAATTGTTACAAATATTTTCCTATTTTTATTCACTACTTATACATGTTTTACAAATGATGTCATTAAATAAATTGAATACAAAATCATTTAAATTATGAAAACTAAAAGTTTAAAAGTCAGTGAAATACCGGCAATGAAATGATTGAATGCTTTCATGTGTTCACAACAAACGTCTCAATCAATTGAACCCAAAGTCAAACCCTTTGCTATGATTTGAATACAACTCGCAAACCATTGACTGAAGTGTTTTCGGACGTAATTTATGATTGTTTTGAAGGCATTGTTTGTGTGAATCGTTTTAATTGCAAACACAGTCACATCGACTGAAGAGGTCTACTGATCGGATCCAGTGATGCCTTACGCCAACCAGCCGTCGGTCACAATACCCGACTCC